GGCAGCCGAGGCAGTACCCGGACACGGCCACCAGCACCGTCGCCAGCGGCACCCAGCTCGGCCACGCTAGACCGACCACGTCGTTCATGAGGTAGTAGACGCCGAGCATGATGGTGGCCAGGCCCATCACGCTCGTCGAGAGCACGAGGAAGGGGCGCCGTCCGATGCGGTCGACGAGCAGCACGCACAGCACGGTGAAGATGATCTGGACGATGCCCGTGTACACGGTGGCGAGGCGATGGTTCTCCACGCCCGCGGACAGGAAGATGGTCCCCGTGTACATCATGAGCACGTTTCCTCCGCTCACTTGCTGCAGAGTCATCATGAAGAGCGAGATGAAGAACGGCTTGCGCGTGCGCGGCCGCCACAGCTCGCGGTATTCCATCTTCTTCCCGACGGACGCCATTTTCTTCTCCATCTCCTCGATCTCGGCGTCGAAGTTGTACTCGGGGCCCCGCAGCCGCCGGAGGACCTTCTCCGCGTCCTCCCTCCGCCCCTTCAGCAGCAGCCAGTAGGGCGTTTCGGGCGCGAACAACATCGCCACGAACATGAGGACGGCGGGGACGCAGCAGACGTAGCAGCTGACGCGCCACGAGAAGCAGGCGCCCGCCAGGTAGGACAGGACGACGCCGAAGGTGATGAAGAGGGACGGCACGGAGCCCAGGCGGCCGCGCATCTGCGCCTCGGGGATCTCGCTGCAGTACACCTGCAAGAGCGATGGCCGGGGTAGTGCTTTCGGCGGGTGAGGCAGGAAAGAGCTTTTGAAAAAGCGGTGCAACAATAATTACAAGTGAATTAAATGATAAAATCAGCACTAATGTAAGAGACTAGAATCATAGTTGGCATGACAATACTATTTTTATTTAGTTTTTATTACTTTCCCAATCAATGTATTACATAGGCAGTTACAGTAGGTTAAGCAATATATTTTTTTTAAATGGTATTATTTTCTCGCGAAAAGGATTCTAACCAACACTCCAAGCTACACCTAATATGGATTCCTCCTCCTCCTCCCTCTCCCCCTCCCTTCTCCTCCTCCTCCCTTCTCCTCCTCCTCCCTTCTCCTCCTCCCCCTCCTTCTCCTCCCCCTCCTCCTCCTCCTCCTCCTCCCCCTTCCCCTCCTCCCCCTCCACTCCCCTCCCCTCCCTCCCTCCCTCCCTCCTCCTCCCCCCTTCCCCTCCTCCCCCTCCCCTCCCCTCTCCTCCTACCCCCTCCTCCTCCTCCCCCCTCCCCCTCCCCCCCTCCCCCATCCTCCTCCCTGCTCGTCTCTCCTCCTCCTCCCCTTTCTCCTCCTTCTCCTCCTCCCCCCCCCCTTCCCCTCATCCCCCTCCACTCCCCTCCCCTCCCTCCCTCCTCCTCCCCCTCCTCCTCCTCCTCCTCCTCCTCCTCCTCCTCCTCCTCCTCCTCCTCCTCCCCTCCCCCTCCCCCCCACCCCCCATCGCCACTCACCGGCCCCGTGGAGAACAGGAAGGCCGTCGCCACGCCGCACACGGCCCTCCCCGCCAACACGCCGGCGAAGTTGGGAGAGAGTGCCATCGTGAGCCAACCCAGCAGGAGCATTGGCACCATCGCCAGCAGGGTTGTCCGGCGACCCAGCTTGTCCATGACCCTGCCTGCGACCACGCTGCCGGCGAGGGACCCCACCGAGATGATGCTCGCTGGAAGGCAAGGGAGGGATTAAGGACGGAGAAGGGGGGGGGGGAGAAGCGTTTCGAATTGAAATCTTTTTGGTTACTGGTTATTAGCTCTTGGGAAGGCAGGCTGAATGGCTCGTCGCGTTGCTGGTTCTGTGGGTTATTATTAGCTGGTAGGGCATGTATACGCACACGCACACACACGCACATGCACGTACACACACACACACACACACACACACACACACACACACACTGAAAATTATCTACACACCTTTAAACTATCTAACGCATGTTTTCCAGAGACCGAGGTGGGGAAAGGTTGCATCGCGTATTGCAGTAATGGGAAAATGCTTGAACTTGACGTTTTCATGTCGGAGGGCGTTCATGACCGTCGGCAGATAAGGAGAAATTTGAATTTTTAAAAGGGTTCTATGAGGAGTGGATAGCTATGAAATCTATAAATTTAATAATCTTTTATTCAATTAATAATTGCGGTGTGTTGCAAGACATTTTGTGGTGTGTGTGTGTGTGTGTGTGTGTGTGTGTGTGTGTGTGTGTGTGTGTGTGTGTGTGTGTGTGTGTGTGTGCGTGCGTGCGTGCGTGCATAAGCGGGCGTATGCGTGTGCATGTCTGCGTGCGTACATGCATTTACACCATTATTTGCTTTGAAATAAATCCAAATTATGATGTGTGTCGAAAGTCACTTATAAAGGATACTGCATTTTTTTTTTGCTCCATGTCCATAACAATCTGAATAGCTCTGCCTTAAATTGCGTGCATTCCTCCTCTGTCCACGCTATTGTCAAGCAGTCATAATTACTTCACAGTGCCTTCATGTATGCAATAATGAAATAATCACACTC